TCGATATCTAAAGTGACGTATTTAGAAATGGATCGGAACTATCGAATAAGGGATGCAGCGGGGGGCTTGTTTACTTTACATAGATATGTGTTCGGCGGCTTTTTCGTTCAAATACGCTTCTATTCTGTGCTTCGCAGATGCTTTTTCATAGCTTGGTAATACAAAACTAAAATTTGTGTTAACATTTCAACATCTTGGGACCGTCTGGAACCTAAGAAATAACAGAGAGCACCTCTGCAAACTCAGCTACAGCTAAAGGTATGTAAACGTACATTTCTTACAATCATTCAAACAAATTTAATTTTTAATTGAAAACAAATTTCTTCCAAAATAACTTAAAATCGCGCCACGGATGAACCAAAAAGATTGAAAAATCATGATACTTTTTTCTTTCGTCTGTCGATTTTCGAACTGGTTCGGAACTATAGAATTTAGGTCTAGTTCAGAACTATCGAAAAAGGGATGCAATTGACACTTCCTAGGACATCGCCATGTTAAATTCGCCAGTTGCTTGCATGCAAAAGAGATTTATCGCGAACCAGTACTAGGTCTAAATATACTAGAAGCGCCCCAGTTCAGAACTAGAGATTTTCCCCACAGGGTATGTACATATATACACATGCATGTATATTTGTTTATGTGTGTATACTATTTTCGCCACAAATGTTTACACAGCTAATGGCCGCATCGAATGCACAACACTGCACTGATTTTTTTAAATATTTATTTTCATATTTTGTACACTGATTTTGTGTATTGTGTATTTTAAGTAACAGTTGTTGTTTTTAATGTAGTAGTAGCTGTTGTTGCTATGGCATTCTATGTACTCACCTAATGTTTTTTTTTGTTATTTTGTTTTTTGAGTTGGTGTACCAATTACTTTGCTGTTGTTGTAATCAACCAGTTTAACCACAGACTAACTAGCTAGCCAGTGTTGAGCTTTGGATAGAGCGGGGCGTATGAGTGATGTGATTGGACTGAAAGCAAGTGTATGTGCATATGTATGTATGTATGTATGTATGTATGTATGTGCGAGCGATTCCCCGTGAAGTAATCAAAGTAACATTTTTTCTCTCCTATTCCGCTTAAAATGGGAGCATTAGTAGTACTCAAGAGGGACCGAAAATAAAAGTTATCTTTTTTTAAGTCAATTTGGGCAAATATTTTTTAAGTTTAAAATAAAAGTAATTTCCTGATAATAAAAAAAACGCTTATCCAAATTAAACAAGTTTGATATCAAATGAAAAAAAAATAACTGTTATTTTCGATTGGTGATATGCATTTTTGAAAAAAAATGTTGACCAAAAAAGTTTAAGTGCAAAATAAATTTGCGTTTTCTGGGGGCACGATCTTTTATTTTTTTTAAACGAACTCTGATTTTTTTTTTCTAAAAAGACCTACATACATATAGATGTATAGATTAAAAAGTTGGTCTATATTCATGGACATACTTACTTTAGTTTTTAGCTCAAAATTCATTTAAAGGAAATTCATGAAAGCCAACATTTAATCTTGAATGGCTAGATACCGGAGAACTCAACTTAATTTTTAAGTTATTGAAGGACCTTGCTCTACTCGTACATGGCTACGTAGAGTGAGCCGTAAGTAATACAGTTATCTTTAAGGTATAGTACATCTCTCCACAATGTCTGTCTGATGCCGTTTCATGGCGAAAGGCACTTAGTTTCATACTTTTAAAGTAAAGCAAAAAATCAACCGCTAAATCTAACAATTTGAAAATATTTACTATGGTTTTACTGCACGGCGCCTTTGTGATTTTCCTAGAAACCATTCAAAAAGTCAAATTTAATGCTTACACGGCAGATTATATGTACATAAATATTTTAACTGATTCTTAAAGAAACATCCATTTTTGATATAGCGTTCAAGCCTTGGTTTCTTGCAAACAGAAGAAGCATTACTTTACATTTTTGCAGCAACTTTCTATCTAATTTTATTTGCTGCAGCCATTTTGCATTCATTTCCGTTTCCAATTGATTTCTTCCTTCCTCTGCAAGCCCTCGCCGCAAACTACTTTGCCTGTCTAAATAAACTTGCTTAGCGCCATTGGCTCGCTGGTACAGTTATTTATTTATTTACTTCCTTGCTTTAGTATGCTCTTTAGAATTTTTTATTGTATTTGCGCCAGTTTTATGGCCTCGTAAATTTCCCATAGTTCCTTGCCAATGCAAAAATTTCCAATAAGGTTAACCAATAACATTCCAATAGTCACCAACTGTAAAGGGTATTTGTGATTTTATTCGCACGTTTATGTGTGTGCTTCTGTTTGTGACATGAAATTGGTTCATTGGACGAAGTTAAAAATATGCGCCACTGACAGAGGACATTACAGAGTACAGATACTTATAATATATATGTAAATAGTTTTTGATTTCAAATTTTAAACAGTCTTCCACTAGTACACTATTGAATGGAATGTATAGACTGTTGGGGTGCAATATACCGATGGTCCTCTGCAGTAACGACGCAACTCAAATCTAGCCAAAGGTCCGTGTCTAATCCTTACTACTTATTTTCGGCCCTAAACAGTAATAACGGTTTTTTTTTTTTTGAGTTTTGATTTGTGTCATTATTGCAGAGGTTCGAATATTGTAACCTCCTTTTTGGGGCTACTTTGTTGCTCTTCAACCGGCCTCTGAACTGCTTTACCAATCGTGAGCAATCGTCTTCTTCTACTTCTCTACACTCTCCTTCTTTATCCTTTTTTATGCGTTCCGGCATATAACCAATTGGCCTGTGGCCCATAGAATTACTTGTAAGGAAGATTACTCTCCAGATTTCATCCAGCTCCAATTCCATTTTCAGTCGTAAAGCATAGACAGAAGGCAACGTTGGTCCGGATTAACGGATCGAAATTGTGCCTTAACAGACGACAGTAATGCGGATGAACGAGATTAATTTTGAGGATTCGCTGTAAGACTTAATCCGGATGAACTGCAGTTAATTCCGAGATAATTGCCAATTAACGAATTGATCTCGATCAACGCTGTCATCTGGCTTTGCTTTTATAGCCGTCTGCAAATAAATTTTTTTTACCGAGTTCACGAAGATAGCTTCGAGATGAAAATGTCCATTGCTCACTTTTAGGAAAGATAATGACATATTTTTTTCCAAAAGATACTTTAGGTAACAGTTTACTATTCAGGGTAAAGCAAAATTAACCACTCTTCTAAACAGCTCTCTGCGCCCGGTAACCCGATTGTCGAGCCACAATCTAAAATAACGCAGTCATAACTCAGTGAATTCTCGCAAGTTGACTCAATGACTTAAGCTCATTTAATGAGTCAGCTCAGTGAGGTGACACAATTGGGCTATGACACTAACAGGATAATTCTGGCTAAGATAATAAAAATATTTTCGTAAGACAAATTAAAGACAGATAAGAAAATAGTTCGTAAAACTTCTGTTATTCTATCACTTTCTAGTCCTAGAAAAAAAGCCCTCTCACTCACCACTCGTGGTGAAAAGCTCTTTTTTCAGAAAGCTCTTGTATATAATTTTGCCTGCGCCGCTCCAACGGGAGAAGCGATTTTTATTCATTTACCTACTAAATTTTGTCTTCTTAATTTAATTTTCTTTTCATTGTCCTAAAAAGAAAAATACTCTTATATATATATTTCTTTAATTTGACTTGACCTTTAGAAACTTATTTTTATTTTATTTTTGGACTATTTTTTTAAACAGAAAAAATATTAATTTTTGTAAAAGTATTTTTTTACATTTTGTTTATGTTCTTAATATAATTTTCTTTTATGTATATAAGATTTTATTGTTTTAAAAAGATAAATATTTTAGTTTTTTTCTTTTATTTCAATTAACATTTTTAATTTTTACTTTTTTAAATCTCATTGAATTTTAAGGAACTTACTTCATTTATTTCTATAGTTTAATTTTTTTATTTAATTTTCCTTTTATATTTTAGATTTTGTATAAATAAAAAAATATATTTTTTTTTATCTCATGTATGAAATTTTTGGGATTTATATATTTTTGTTTTTATGTAATTTTTTTAATTTTTAATTGCATTTGCTTTAAATATTCTGGTTTTTTTTGTTTTAAAAAGTATGTCTTATTTATTCACTTTTCTTTTTTTCTTTGTTTTTTTTTAATTCTTTTACTTTTTGAAATTTTTTATCTATTTTTACTTTTTTCTTCTTTATTTTTTTTTTTTTAATTTTTA